GGTCACACACCCATTTTGTAAGAAAATTTGGGTGTGTGCCTCTGATCCTTTCGATGAGATTAGAATTGCAAAGCAATTCTTGAATCTGTTTTAGGTGAAAAGAAAGATAAAGTAAACAAGAAACTATGTAAACACATAAGTCATGAAAAAAGCTGAAGTCAACTAGAATCTTTGTTAAAGACATACAAGATCTATTAAGGAGAAGAAATTTCTTGTTTTAGATGATGTGTGGATTGACAATTCTAGAAAATGGGAACAAGTGAAGATGCTCTTGAGTCGCTTCTCAAGGGAGTGAATTTGGTGACTACACGTAAAGAGAATACTGCAAAAAGTATGAGAAGCACCAAAACATCCAAATAGGAAGATTAGGCGAGAGGAATCTTGGTCATTATTTAATCAAGTTGCATTTTTGGAAAGATAAGGCAGAATATGAAAAATTAAAAGATATGGTAGAAAGATTGTAGGGAAGTGTGATGGCTTGCCTCTTGCTATAAAGACTTTAGGAGTCTCTTGAATTTAAAACACATGCGAACAATGGCAAAGTGTCTAGATAGTGATTATGGCAATTAGAAGAGATAGAAAAAGAGCTCTTCCCCCCAATCCTCTTGAGCTATTATGATTGTCTTCTAAGCTTAGAAATGCTTTACATATTGTGCCACATTTCCAAAGGACTATGTGATAGGAAAAGATATATTGATCAAGTTATGGATGGCCCAAGGTTTTCTTAAGGTAGAAGGAACCAAAGAAATAGAATTAGTTGGTGAAGAATATTGAAAATTAGTAATGCGTTCTTTGTTTCAAGTTTTGAGAAAGTAATATGATGGTAGTATTAGAATGCAGATGCATGATAGTGCATGACTTTGTTCAATTTGTTGCAAAGAATGAATGTTTTGCAATAGAAGTTGAGAGTGATGCAATTCCTCAATTAAAGATTTCTGTGAAAGTTTCGACATTATACTAAGAAGTAGTGATTCTCTTAGAGTTCCTTCTCTATTAAGCTAAAAAAATTAGTGCTTTGTAGTTGAGAAGGTAGGCGTTAAAGTAGATTCTTATCGGACATTTGAGCAATAACATGTCTGAGGACATTAATTTGATGGGCTAAAGTGTAAAATTCCAAAAGGAATAAAATATTTAGTGCATTTGAGGTACCTTAAGTTGACGGATAATTATAATATAGAAAATTGCCTGGGGTATTGTGTGATTATATAATCTACAAACCTTGGATGTCACTGGTTGTTTTATCTGAGAAGCTACCAAGGGATAGGAAAGTTAGTTAATTTGAGGCATTATAATTGGTGGGACAATAAGATTAAGGTACATTCCAAAAGGAGTAGAGAATTGAGTTGTCTAAAGACATTAGATAAATTTGTTATTAATGGTGATTATGATTATGGTAACAAAGCATGCACTGTCTTGATTCTTTGAAAAACCTAAACTGGGCCATTACACTTAGAGTTGGTAAATGTGAGGGATAGTAATGACTTAAATTGCAGATTTTAGAGTACCAAAAATCTCCTTCATTTGACTTTATCATTTTATACTCAGTATAACTATAAGGAGAGAAGCGAAAATGAAGAGAATGTAATGTTATTGAAGCATTAAACCACCTCAAATTTAGAGAAATACGATAAAATACTTGGAGGAAATCCATGTCTTTGATTGGATGGTATCTTAATCAAGTTGAAGGAGTTAGAGCTTTTTTATTGCTTCAACTGTGAGCATTTACCTCCTTTGGGAAAACTACCATCCCTTGAATCACTAAAGATAAAAGACATGCTTAGTATAAAAGAGTGGGTAATGAATTTTGGGAATAGAAATGATGCCACATCATCGATTGTGCCTTTCAAATTGAAATTCCTCCATTTCATATGGCTAAAGATGGGAAGAGTGGAATCTGAGATTAAATAGTAGAGACAAAGATATTACAATCATGCCATGTCTTCATCTTGAAAATAAAAAGCGTAATTATTTAAGGCACTGCCAGATCAAATTCTTCAAACACCAACACTACAGCAATTAGAGATTGTTGATTGCAATGCTTGGAAGAGCGTTACAAGGAGACAGGAGATGATAGGAGCAAGATCGCTCAATTCAAAAGTCTCTATCATCAGTCGTCGGTTGATTGTTGAAATGTGAGAGATGCAATTGCTTCACCCATTGGTAAATTCATTCCCCTTCCCTTTTTGTAATTCAAAATCTTATATTACAATAATGTTTTTTATTTTTCAGTAAGACTCTATTAGAGGATATATTAGTTAATTATTCTTAAAATGAGTATTACTTTTATAATATTTTATTTATTACTCTTATTTAGAGGAAATTGGTTTAGATAAATTTAATTTATTATTTTTGTGCATGCAAAACTGATTTAGAATTTTTTAAAAACATGATATTGCATTTATATAATATTTTTTAAAGACATGCAAAATTATAATAAAAGAAAATTGATAAAAGTATTAAGATAACTTAAATAAATGCAAAATATCATGTCTTTAAGATCAGTATTTATCTGGTTAGATCAATTAATTTATTTATTTTTATGCATGAAAAGTTGATTTACTAACTTAAATAAATGAAAAATTTGGTTAAAATTAAATTTTTATAATATTGATTAAACCCAACTAAACTTCATCTTCTCTTCTGTGTTCAATCGTCATTCTTCGTTTCAATTTTAATCTTCGCTTTGTTTTTTCGATCGTCTTCAATATTCAAGAAATTTGGTGATGGGTGTTGATATCGTCATTTTCCCCTTTTTCTGGGTTTGGTTAGTGGGTTCTGGTGGGGGAGCTAAGAGAGAGACTTGTGGAACCCGAGTATTTTGGAGATGGAGGAGAGAGTTCTAAGCTGTTGAAGGTTACGTTGAGTGGGCCGCCAAGCATTGGACGACCTATGCGATTCCGATTGATTATGGAGGACTTGGAGCCATGGTGTGGGGTGGATGTTGCTTCAGAGACTCTTCAACTTAATGGTAAGTAAAGTTATCTTCGTGTGCGTTGTGAAGAAATTTTGGCTTCGTCATGCTCATAGTTTCTTTGTTTTACAGACATTAAAGAATGCTTTATCACCATACAAACTTGGAGGGGCAGCAGGTGGAAGTGATTATGATCCTAAAGGAAAAAGCGATAATGAGGTAAGATGTTTGTTCTCTGTTAAGATGGTATTTCAGTAAGAACCCTTCTAAGAAATTCTGAAAGTTTCTCTTACAGTTCTTTGTGAAACCCATGCTGGCTGATCATGCGCTTTTGCCAAAGTTTCATGAATGAGATCTATAGATATCTGGCTCCTGACAAGGTAACTTAAGAAGATCTCCTTTTCATCTTTAATCTGTTTTGGAGTCTCTGAGTTGTATGACCCACTTCTCCATGCCTGATTTACTGTTTTGTGCAATTTGAGGATCTTCCATCAGAAGAGATGGGTGTTGGCACCCGAGAGATGGGGTATCTCTTTGGGCAATATAGACGTCTTGCTGATCATTTTCAGGTACTTAAGAACACTTGAAAGAGGCTGTTTGACAAGTTGAATTTATCTTGTATTTTTCTTCTTATATTCTCATTATTCTCTGTTATTTTTCATTGTTTTTATTTTTGGAGTCATTTTTTTAATTATTATGAATTTTTATGTACTGCCTAGGTTTGAATATGCCATCTACCCCTATGGCGGTTAATATTCTGACAAAAGCTAATGTTCTTATTGCTCCTGCCATGGCTGCTGATGCTGGAAGGGTGTGTTCTTTACTTCTACAAGGCATATGAATCTTTATGTGCCTTTTGAGTATCTATGCTAACATGGAATCGAAGGCCTCTTCAGATTCCTTAATGTAGGGTTGTTGCTTGCTTTTTTTTAGGTGGTCTTTCCTTGCCCTTCCCTCCAGCGGATTTTGAGTCCCGACCATATAATTGTTTATGCTTTTAGTTTGGTTTAAATAGGGTTCTTTTGGACATGCATAGTTGTCACCAAATAGAGGCTCTACACCACAGTCTCATTGATTGTCAGGATGCCATGCTTAAGAACACATTTTTTGTTTTAGAATGCGGATAACTATAGATGTGAATGAAAGTAGATACATTCCAAAACCATTAATTAGTAAGGCTAACTATGGATGAATCTATGCAGAATTATTCCAAATTATTAGTAAATGCTCTAAATTATTGTGTATGCTATTACATAGCCATATAAGAATTGGCCGCACATCAACCCACTGACTTATATAACTTTATCCAAGCGGGTTGAATATGTTCTTGAGCTCTTGTTTCCACATATTTTTGAGTTGAAGGTGGGGCATATGAGCCATGGCTGCTTGACTGTGTTACATTTGTCCATTTCAATTTTGGTTTTGATCAAATTTTTTCATTAGCTGTTTCTGATATGTATTTATTCATTAAATTGTTGGCCAACTTGGCTTAAGGTTGTTGCTGGTGAACTCGAATTAAATCATGAATGCAATTTGATGCACTATGTCACCTGAGGACTTCGGATCTAAAGTACAGGTACAACTATGTATTTCATTTCAATTCTTGTTGACTTATAACTTCAAAAATGCAAATAGATTAAAGCATATGCAGAAATTACCAACCCCATTTCTCAATATTTCGGGCCTTTTAATTACATTGATGAAATATTAGATTATATTTTTCTAAGTGGAACCTAGAAAATTCACTAAAGTAAAAGTGAGTTCCGAACCAACTGCTACTTGGTAACCACCCCTTCTACTAGTCCTGTGAAAGTTGACTTATATAACTGTTAAAATGACTTAAAATATCAAAGTTTCAAAGTGGTTCTTGACATAAAGTTGGTAAGGAAATAGTGTATATAGTTAAGCTCCTTTAGGATCTTTCATATCATGATATAGTATGCTTTCCAGGATCCCAAATTCAGGTACTTTAATTTGCAAAATTGTGTAACGTACGGATGTCTTGTTTTTGTTCAATGTGTGAGAAATTGGAAATTATATATTTTGCAATTATGTTTTTGTGAACTCTTATCACAATTACATGTTACAGGAGAAGGTATTTGATTTGTCAATTGCATTGGTGTTTGTGATATGAAAGAGAGAAAATAGGCAGAGCAAGTGACCAACTGGTGAAATTTTTTAAGCATATTCTTTTTAACTGTTCTTTATTTTTACCTGCAATTACTGAACTTTATCAACTCCTTGTTGGCCCTTGTGCAGATTACGTCAGTTAGCTCTTCCATCCTCCCCAAATTCAGTGAGCAAAATCTTTTTACAACTCATAAAGGTTTGTTTTTGTTGTCTTCTAGCTTTAATATATTCAATTACATTATGTAATACTTTGTTTTCATATCTCATTCTTGATGCAGTAAAGAAAGTTCAACACTATATCAAATGTCATGCTTTGAAGAACTAGCTCTTTTATCTGCAAGATCACTGTTGTCGAAAAGGTAATGTCTTCTCCACAATTTTTAGTCTGAAAAATGGCTGAGTTTGTTATGGAGAATTATCTAGATCAATTTGTGTTATTATTTTTTCAACTATTAGAGTTTTTCTTAACATTGTACATCACAATGACAGGATTTGAATAGGATGTTCTTGATTATGCCGACGTTATCATCAAAAAATTTGATGAGCTCTGAAGACAATAGATAGAATTTAAATTTTGAACAGAAATTAAGGCATCGCGCTATGAATTTTGCTCAAAAGGGAGCATACATAATCCTCATGATGTTGTTGAAATTGTGTCATGAAACCAAGAGATGGTTGAATATTGGCCAAATTTCGCCACTCTTTATTAAGGGCATAATGGCGTTTTTTCTTCGTAAACTTATATAAGCCTTGAGATAATCTTGTTTCCTAACAAGGGGGGAGTTAGAAACATAAGAGAGATTGTGGAGAGAAACATATGGATTTTCCGCTCTTACATTAGAACAGTCTCTTTAGGATTTATTGTGGTTTGAGGCTTTTGATCCTAAACTTATTGGAAGAGGTGTGAGAGTGTTTTGTAATTCTTGTTCCATCTCATATAGTGAAACCAACATCACCACCCGTGGACGTAGGCATATTGGCCGAACCACGCAAATCGTTGTGCCTTTTTGTGTTTTTGCCTTGACTTTTTTTTTTTTTTTTTCCTTAGCTACTGTTTGATTGTTTTTCATTTGGACATTTTTACTTGGTATTTTTAGTTTCCTCGAAAACTAAACTATGATTTAAGTTTACAAATATTTTTTCAAGATATAATTATTAACCATGATCCGCAAGCATTCAATAGCCCATTAACAATACTAGGCCAGTAAGGTAGCTAAAGTGCAGAACCCCTCGCAAGCACATCCACCATTATTGGACTTTTTCTTGAAATTTTCACAACTATAAGTAACCAAATGAGAAAGCATAGTGAATAGCAACATGAGCGTGGTCGATCCAGCGATACCTAAATTACAATAGACGTTGATGTAGAAAGCATTAATTGTGTACAAGGAATTAAAGCAAAGTCATGGCTTCTTCTCTTCAAATTACTGCCCACAAGGGCCACAACACAATTAATTGATTCTTGTTGTCTAAAGAGAATAGTAGAGTTATACATCTTAGATTGTTTTCCACTGGTTTTATATTTAAAAATATGTTTTCTCGGTATTTTTAGTGTAACATTTCACATTCATAGTAAAATGTTAGGATTTAATTATAAGTTTCGGGTTCTTTCAACTTAGTAGGCGTTCTTGAGATTAAAAACATTTGTGTAAGCTCTAAAAATGAATTTGAATGCTTTGAACCCAAATACAATTACTATGATTGAAAGGGAAGAAACAAAAACAGGAGGGCTAAACAATAAAGTGGGGCTCAAATATGGTTACTCTTCATAAAAATTCTGGAGAAATTGGTCTTCTCATAGTGGGCCAAGTTTCTCCAAATGCCGTGATTAAGCAGCAGCCCCACATATTGTTGGTTGTAGATAGAAATGTTAAACCAAAGAGAGAGTGGTCCAATAAACCACGTCCTATAGCATGGCCCATGAGAAGCAATAGAGATGACAGAGCCCTTTGATAATCCAACTCAGTTAGTTGAAAATCTTAACATCAATCCAACCCAAATTGACCATACAATCTTTCTCACAAAGTTAACAGAAAATCAGTATTTGTGGGGTTTTGAAGTCGATATGTGAAGGTAATAGATAGAGTTCAATCATTCCCCTCCAAAAACAGACCTCAAAGTTATGTGAAACAACAAGAGTTTTAGACAGTCTGACTTGTTTCTGCTGTTGCTGCAATTCTGGGTTTAAGTAGTAGAAGTTGGAGAGAAATTTGGTTACTTGAGAGATGAAATGTGACAAAGAAAGTGATGCTAATATATATAACTCATTCCATTTCCAGCATTGTCCGAAGACGATGAACAAAGGATGAACATTTGTGTTTCCAACTGTCCATTGTAAAGTCCCAGTACCAATACCTCTAAATTTGGAGGCGGTTGCAAGGCCTCAAAAAGTTGTTCATGCTTCTCATTCATCCTCCCATTGAAGTGAGCACGCAAGTAACACAAGTCTTTCTTTTTGTTAAATTCTATTCCCCTAACCTTACCCACATCTGTCAAATTTCCCAACCCTCTTATTGTAATTTTGCGAAGGTGATTGAAGTTTTTAAGACATTCAACAGAACATTCTTTGCTACCATAACCGCTGTCACTTGTAACAAATTCCCATAATGTTCGTAGACTAGTTAATCGCTCGAAACTTTTTGGCATCCATCTTATACTAGGACACCCCCCAACATAACAAATGTCTCAGGTTGATTAAGTTTCCCATCCCTTTAGGTAGTTTTATGAGATTTCTACGATAAGTGATGTCTAAGGTTTGTAGATTATATAACTCACACAATATCTCAAGCCATTCTTTTATATTATCATTCCAAGACAAATCAAGGTACCTAAAGTGTATTAATTTTTTTATTTCTACAGGAAGTTCTTCAATTGAGCATTTCTTCAAATATAATAACCTTAGACATGTAAACTGATCAGATAATTTGGGCAAAACTATCTGAGGGTCAATACCGTAATTACAATCAACCACAAGGCTACGTAGAAAAGTATTTCTAGTGTAAATAGAGCTAGGAAATGAGGCCCTTCCTTGAATCTTTATCTTTGAATGTCTAACATTATCATAAGAAAATAGGAATTCAAATTCTCTTGTACCATCAACCTTTGTTGTATAACATTCACTTTGGGTAAGAAATTGAGCAAAATCATGCACTATATCATGCATCTTGCAGGACCTTATATTGATATCCTATTCATCTTTTTGAAAATCTTGGAAGAAAGAAGGCATTGCTAAAGTTTCAAAATACTCTTCACCAATTAACTCCATATTTTGACCTCACATAACCTTCAGCCAGCCATAACCTAATTAATTGTTCTCTCTTTATTTCATAATCCTTCGGAAAAATGGCACAATATGAGAAACATTTTTTTAAAAGAGGGCATAAATCATAATAACTTAGTAGTAGAGGTCGAAAAAGCTCCTGTTCTACCTCTTCTAATTCCCATATTTCACTCTCTAAGATATTTTGCCACTCAACAAATGTTCTTTTAAATTTATAATGCAAAAGACTCGCTAAAGTCCTTACAACAAGTGGCAAACCCTTACACTTTTGAACAATTTTTCTACCAATTTCTACAAAGCTATTAGATTCTTAATTGGTCTTTCCAAAAACAGCAATGCGACTAAATAATGACCAACATTTCTCGTTAGGTAGTATCCCTAGTGAGATCATTTTGGTGGTTCCTATGGCATTTACAACATTCTTTTTACATGTGGTCACTAAAATTCTACTTTCTAGAGAACCACATTGAAAAAGATGCTTCAATTGATCCCAATCTTTTGAATTTTCAGTCCATATGTCATCTAGGACAAGAAGGAATTTCTTTCCCTCTATATGTCGACGTATGTTTTGCACTACTGTTTCTAACACATTTTAAGTTTGGTGCATTATTTGTAAGAGATTCAAGGATTGCTTTGGCAATCCTATGCTCATCGAAAGGCTCGGAAATACACACCCATATTTTTTTATCAAAATGAGTGTTCACCATTTCGTCATTAAAAACTAATCGAGCTAGAGTTGTCTTGCCAAGTCCTCCCATCCCTACTATAGAGATTATAGGGAGGACTAGTTGATTGCTTTGTTGACTTAACAACAAATCTAGTATTGTATTCTTATCTTCCTCTCTTCCATAAACCTCTATTAAATCAATTACAGAGGTTGTCACTGGTTGTTCTACTTCTTTGCTAACCTCAGTGATAGATCTAAAGTGGAACCTCTCTTTCTCCACAGCAATAATATCAAGTTTTCCATCTAAATCTTTTATCTTGATAGCAATTTTATGACGTAAAACCAGTGAACCACAACTAAGATAGTGAAGAATGACATAACGCACCTTTTTCAAAGGCTTAGAAGCATACTTGCTTTCAGCTTCTTTAAGCAGAATCTTTGTGTTCCACTCATCCAACGCATCATCTATGTCATTGGATATGTTTTTGAGCTTATCTAACCAATCTCTCACAACATTCTCCTTCAATTGTCAGTTCTCAGCATCAGCAAGCACAGCTTGAATGGCAATGAAATTTCTTTGAAGCTTTTCAACTTCTTCCTCAGCAACAACAATCAGCCTTATCCGTCCTCCTACTCTTTGATAGCCGATTGAAGCCAGTTGATCCAAGACTACGGAAACAAGTACTTCAGCCATATTTAATGAATTGATTAAATAAAAAAAAAAAAAAAAAGAGATACTACGAATTCAGAAGGTTTTTAATGTTTATGTTAATTGTGATAAGGCTGTACCTATACCTTCCATTCGCCTTATATAATTGATACATGTGGTAGGACTCGTGAGATATTTATTATTGACAAAAGAGTTGTCTTCATATGTGTCCTATATATGGACACACGTTATCTTAAGCGTCGTGTGGTGGAATTTATCTTAAGAGTTAGTTTTTTTGCGAAATAATTGAACGGCAATGATTCATTGGAGCACAAAGTCTGAGATCGCAACTATTGTGTACTTAATACTTATTTGCGAATTAAGTGGGTGACATCATTGGCTGAATCCGTGTTGACATAAGCTTATTACTCGTTGACCATGG